GAGTTTTGAGTTTTCTTAATTGTTCTTTTGACCCAAGTCTGTCTACTTCGTGAATCTCCCAAGCCTTTCTTGATAAGAATGTTTTATATTGATTTATCCCCTAAATCTATGAGGGCCTTTATGATAGCGAGGTTTGAACTCCCTATCATTAACTCCAACAGCAATATAGAAAGGAGGTATAATTAAAGTTAAATTTTACAAATCAAATTAATTTTATAACATTATACATGCCTATCTCCAAGTCTGGGGCTCAGCATAGTTACTGGCTGCTCAGTGGACTAATAGCATTGCCGCTACAAACAAACTTTGTTAGCTTCCACATAGTTACCATACCAATCAATACCTGAATAATTAAATTCCTCTATTATCAAATTCTAGTCTTCTTTATCAGCTTTTTTTCCACCAGTAATTTTGTTGTCTTGATCTGGTTTCTTCTCTGAAAGTCTACAGCAACCTTGGGGTTTCACCAGATAATCTTTCCTTTCTTCTCTGTTAAGTTCTCTAACCCAAATTATTTAATGCCCAAGTTTGAAGTCTTTAAAGAAGATTCCACTGAATAGAAGCTTGATCAAACTGTATTTTGTTTTGTTTTAATACAGACTACTAATTTTATCTTGTCTCGCCCTTGAGTGAAATCCTATACATGTAAGTATTTGAAATTGCTATTAATTTTCTTGATTCATTCTCTTATTGATTTTCTTTCCAACTATTTCCATCCAATGTATCTAATAATTATTAGAGATGAGGCAAGAATCAAATGCCTGCATCCATACCCCCTCTGAGCTTTGTAGCTCATGCCCATCTTTAATTAACATGAAAGCAAGCAAGGAAGTTTCTCAGACTAAAACCTAATCATTTAATGTTGCATTCTTACCTTCAACTTTTTCTGTTGCATTTTGACCACAGGTTTGGTCAATGGGCAGCTTCTTCAGAAAAGCATTGCACATCACAAGGCTTCATGCTCTCCTTAGACCTGGTAGCAAATCACTCGAGCAGAAAGGAGAAGGGAGGATTCTGGCTCCCTTTTATACTCCTGCAAATGCAGCGAGGCCAAATCACTCCAACTGCTTTCATCTGTTCATTACTCTATAAATGCAACACTTTCCGAAAGAAATTCACTGTTGAATTAAGGGGGGGAAGTGGGACACAAAACAAATGGGGGTGATAATGAATTGAAGTGATGATCTGAGGAGCTCGTAGTGCTTCATAAGCATTAATTAATTAAACCTTACTAGATCCCAGTGAGGTAGGTATTATGGCCCATGCTTCAATCCTGGCTGCGGTGTGCTATTTCTGTATCTCAATATCATTTTGTTAATATGTATTCTGACGAGCGGACTGAAATGGTGTCTGACTAGTAGAGATGACTGTGCATATATTTAAGCTGTGAATATTCTGCATGATGAGCCTTCATATGGAAACAATTTTTTTCTTTTTTTTTTTTTTTTTTTTTTTTTTTTTTTTTTTTTTTTTTTAATACAGCCTTGTTCCTGAATAAAAAGTGCATGATAAATGAATTATAGAGAGAACATTGAAGGACTACTGGTGATGTACAGTTATGTGCAATACGTAACTTGTTCTGCTACTGAATTAGGATGAACACATGTTTTCTTTCTGGTACTGAAAACCTGAGTGCACTTCAATGAGTATGAAATGTTCATCCTTTTGTAACATAATTTATCTAATTGCTGTAAGAATTTAACCTATGATTTTAACTGCAGTTATTAGCAGTGTGAAGAGCACACCAATCTCTTATTAATACATTACAAAAGTTATTCTGAGGTTTCACTGCAAGAAACCCATTTCGGTTTTAGCACCGATATAAAGCTTTGACTCCTAATGAATGCTTTCCCCCTTTTTTTTCCGTGCTGCTCTAAACAAGATGTTGTTTATTACTTGAAACATTATATGTAAGCCCCAAGAATATGTTACATGTGACTGGAGCTTTGGCAGACTTTGAGAAACTGAAGTTTCCAGAAATTTTGCTATGTTTAAAAACCAGAGCCGTGTTTTAAGGAAAGATTTCTACTTCCAAATGTGTGGTTGCCTGAACCTTTTACATTTTCAAGTCAGATTCCTCTGCCAAATAACACACTGTACCTTAACTATAATAAAAAAGCAGAGACTCTGTGTTTATAAAAACATTGCAGGAGCAACTGTGATCATATTTCTTGAATTTATTCTATTCGTGTGCTCAAATATGCATTTTTATAGTAAGCTCTCTATTGCACCGGTCACTTACAGGAGTAGAAAATGACATGTACGGGCCGAAGGCTGGCATAACGCAACAAACCAAAGGGGTAAAGTACAGGAATTCGGAGCCAGACCAAAATATGAGGTCAAGGAAGTTGCTCTTATAATAATAGTGGTTATCTGTTTAATGTGTGATCTGGCAGTGATACGATGTTGACCATAAGCAATTATGCATGTTTCTAAACTGGTGGTATACGAGCCCTGAGTAACTATACACAAGCTAGATGGGCTGTGAGAAATGGGCACTCGCTCTATTCTTGTGGTTCTTCTTGCTTAATGTCAATTAAAATTACAGCTTAGTAACAGATAGACACTCTGCGATTGTAAAATAGTGCCTATATTCACTCTATCAGTTGCCATATACTTAAAATCCTGTCTTGAAACCAGTTTTCTGAGGCAAGCTCCTGCCTGAGTTGATAAATACTGCATAATATTCTTCTTAACGGACGTGTGGTTAGACGGGCTTTTTCTAACTCTCTGGTTATTATTTGAAACAGCTTTCTTGACGAGCAAGTTCTAATGTCGGTGCCTGTGAATGATGCCCTTGTTCTGTATTTTGTCGTGCATGAGCCTGGAAGCGAGCAATGTCCTCGATGTGTGTTTAGCTGCTTGGCGTTGACCTAGCAGCAGTTCAGAGCAGGAAGGTCTCTGTGATACCAAGCAGCCTGCGCACAGATTAGGACCTGGGAGCTGCTAGGCTGTGGCCCTGGCTCTGAAACCCATTTTTTATGACTTTGGTGAATTCACTGGGCAGTGGATCTTCTCATTAGCCTTTAATAGACTTGGATCCCACTGTTAAAACAGCCTCCGTGTCCTCCTCTGTAAAATGGGATTGTGATGTTTTCCTGGGCTTAAGAGGATGTGGCTGGAGTGGAAGCTGTGTGGTTGGGCTAACTGCGGTAGAAACTGTGCTAATGAGCTATGAAGACACCCAAGAAAGCCTCTTCTCCCCAAGAGCAAGCAGTCACACACAAGTTGGCTCTGTCGTTGTGAGTCCTGTGATCACTGCTGTCAGTATTCACTGGTTTGAATCTCTGCCTTTGCACAGAAGGAGCTGTGGTCACCAACCCTCCCTCCCTGCCCCTGAGCACCATCTAGAAATAATCACTTAAAAAGCAGCATGTGACTTCCTTAAAACAAGTCCCAGCTGAGGCTTAAGCAGGTGGCTTCCTAAGGACTTCTGAAGGCACTTCACGTGGCTCTGGCCATTGCCGAGGTAATGACTTGATGTATATTCTTAGCAAACTCGGCACTGATACCTGCAAGGCATCCCAGAGAGAAATAGTACGTCTTTGTTGCCTGAAAGAGTGAATTGAACAAGGATTTAATGACCAGAGCACATCAGTTAATTGTTGGTAATTTAGGAGCTGTATCAGCAATCTTGCAACAGTCCTGAAGTGGTTATGTGGCCACGGGCTTTCGCATCACACCAGTGCACGTGCTTTGGCTGTCACTTCTAGACTTCCCAAATGTAACCTTTCATCCTTTCACTTTTCAGAAACATGAAAATAAGGGCTGCAAAAATCCACGACTGTGGTGGAGGAGAACTAAATAAGGAAACATAACTGCTTGCTGAAAAGCCACCCCCTCCGAGAGAAATGTCAGCGCCACAATGAGCGCTATTATTCTGCTCCTTCACAACCCGATTGGGGGGTTATGTCAAAGTCTGTAGGAAAGGGCACCAGCGCCCTATCAGTAAGCCATGCTTCTGATTGGCATTGAGTGCTCCCTTTTTGGGGGTAACGCTTCCAGAGGAGCCCCTGTGCTACTAGGCAGCCCCATGACTTGCTGCTTTGTGGGGGAGGCAGCTGGAGAAGCCACTTTCTTGCCTGCTGCTCCAGTGCACGAGCAACATCACGGCACCTTTCCCCTTGTCGCAGTCGTGCAAGGCGATCGTTCAAACGCCCGTAATAAACTGCAGCTCTGAAGCATCAAGAAATGGTCACGTGCAACATATGGCTTAGTCCATCCAATGGTCTCTAGTGCTGTGGGTTCCTTGTGTTGAAAGAAGGAATATGTTCTCTGATAGGGCAGGGTTGGTTTTTTCAACTCTTTCCATAATGTGCGTCTTATTTTAAGGGAAAATTGTCTCACTGAGCTTATCTCCTCCCATTCACGGTCATGCGCACCCTCTACTACTTTCTGGTAATGAAATCTGTACTTTGCAAACACTATAGCAATTATCTCCATGGAAAAGTTCTGATAGGAAAAGAATATTATTTTAACCTTCTTTATTATGATTTAGCAGCTGGAAACAAGGAAAATGTCCAGGACTGCTGTGCTACTCATCTCTCTGCAGACTATCAGCAACAACTCCACAGACCAAGCTGGGAACCGACGGTTTCATGTAATAAGTATTTGGATGCGTTTTCAAGTAAGGTGAGAAAATAACGCAGGCTGTGTTAAATGATGTCCTGCTATTTGGAAATGCTTCTGTTGTTTAAATAAGCACAGTTTAAAAAAAAAAAGTTAATTACATTCCAGGTGACCTTGCAGTTTTTTCTTGGCACGTGGCACTCCTGTGGGTGAACGAGGAGGTGAAAATATCTTTATATACTAAGTTAATTCTTGTGAACTAAATAGCCACAGAGCAATTTGCTAATGTTGGGGAGGTTTCATTGGGAAGGTGTCCTACTGTCTTGGAATAATATTCCTAGAAAATAATGGGATTTGTCTTGTATAGTGCAGTATCAAGGAAAATATTTTATACTTTTTAACTAGAGCCACCTCAGAATTTAGCTATCTGGGAAAGTTATTAGCCTTTATATAGACCTGCAAAATATTTCTAAATTTGCTGGCGGTGAAAGCATGTTTCACTAAGCTGGATAATTTTCTTTATAATTCACCTTTCAGTAAAATTTTTGGTCAGAAAGGGTTAAAATATTTCCCTTTGATAATATGGAAATAAAACAGCTTGACAAGACAAATGTTTCACTTCAATTTTATAATTTTGGTTTTGTATTTATTTTAAGTGATATATTAGATTAACCTTCTATATTATTTCAACATCATTCAAATGAGCTCTTTTGATGTTTCCCAATCAACATTTTTTGGAATATCTTTCCCATGAGAAATTTTGACTTTTTGTTCCTGTTCATTATCGAAAACACTCTTTTCTCACCGATCTTTGCATCTAACGTACAAGCTACGTTTAGCATCTGTAACTCAATAATGCTCATCTGCGTGTGCAAGGTGGTGCTTGGGGGCTCTCAGCATGGCTGGGTGCAAGGCAGTGGGTGCAGGCAGGAGCAGGCAGCAGTGGGTGGGCACGGAGGCAGCTCTGTAGGAAGCCTTGTTGTATCTGTGCTGTCTTCCCTATGTAAAAATAGCATTATTGTTGGCATCTTTTGGTCTTTGGGGAGCATGGTGTAGGTGATGGTTTAGAATGATCTACCTCAAAGCCTTGCCTTGGGGTCCTGTTACACAAATGACTGTTTTTCTGCTGGTCTATGGATCTGACTTGGCTCATCTTGTACTCAGGGGCCCAGAATTTGGGTGAGGAAAGTGGGATGTGTAGGAGGGAGGGGAGCAGGTTGTTAAACACATCCGCCTGTCTAATCTAACCATTCCTCCAGTGTTATGTGAGCCAAGGGATGAGGTGCATCATCTTTAAAGTATGTCAAGTGGCAGGTTCTTAAAAATAGCTGTAAGAAGAGAATGAATTTCTTACGAAGGAACAAACAGGTTTTCACCTCCAAATTCCCATTATTTTTGGACTTCAGGTGCTCAGGCTATCTCTTATGGAAAGTATCTTTTGCAGGACTGGGAGAGAGAAAGAAAAATGGATGTAATCTCTTGCATCCTTTCTGTATGGCAGCAAGATCATCGAGAGGCCGAAAGGATCCAGTTGCCTAACCCTGCAGAGCCTGGTTATCCATTTGGAGATCCGCTTGAGTTACTCTAGAGCTTGGCACATCCCCAGTTTGCCTCCCTGGTATCCTGCAGGCTTTCTGCCACTTCAGCAGCACATCTTCTGCTGGAGCTGTGCTATTCCTTCCCCGCAGCCTGCAAGGCAGAAGCTGTTTGCGAGCCTCTGTGGGAGTTACTGCTACGTTTGTGGATACGTACAAGTTCTGAAGTAAAAATATGACTCAGAATAGCTCCGCCTTACTCCTATTCCCTAGAAACACGACTTCGACAAGGCTTACTTTGACCGTCTGCGAGGCGCTGAGGGTATGAAAGCGTACCACAGAGCGAGCAAGCTCGTATCATCAAACACAGCAAGCTAGTACAAAAATTTGTTTAAGTGATGTAGTGTGGTGCTGATCTAAAGTGGTCTGGAATACAATGAAAGGTGACTCTTCTTTCAGAATTACAGCAAATAATTCTTTTTTTTTCTTCCCTGGGCAGACTTTGAGGACTGCTGTATTTATTCTTGTATTTCTTCCCAGTCGTTTTGGATGTGACTGAAACTGGCTGTTCTTAAGAGTTGGACTCCGACTGAATGAGAGGGTTTTGCTCCAGCCTCTGCCTGACCTTGGGTTATAGGCACTTCAGAAAGCAAAAGCAGAGCTGCACAAATAACCCGCTTCACCTCTAAGTCATACCGGCCCCACGAATAAAACTTGGGATGGGTTTTCTGTCGGGGTAGGCTGGTTTGCAGCCCAGCTCATCCTGGAAGAGAGCGTGGGGCTGCTTTGGGGAAAAAAAACCCAACCAAACAAATTTGTTTAAAAAAATAATTGCTGTTATCTTCCTTCCCAGAGTGGAGGGGAAAGTTGGAAGGGGGGAAAGATGGGGAGAGGCACGCAGGAGGCAGCAGAAATGCATTATGCATTTATTTTTAAGTAGCAATATATCCGAGTCGTTTCAAACCATATTTATTCTCTGGGATGTTTATGTGTTCATGCTGAACGTGGGGTAACAGGGTATATAAGGATATATAATATTAGTGAAGAAGAAAATGACTGCTATAGTACTTTCTACTCTCAGTTCCTTCTCCACTAATGCCCTTACACCTTTCTTTTTCAGGCTTTTTGTAGCATCCTAAACAGAAGGATATTGAAGGGAGCTGATTCTGCTTTGATCCTTATGCTTGTTGTCAAAGCGCTTGGGATTGAAGAGACTGTTGGCTACAATTGACTGTGACAATTAGGAGATGATCAGAGCCCTAGAGTGGAGCACTTAAAGGGTAATTTACATGTCAGTTTGTCGAATAAAAAAAAGATATTCAGCTAAGATTTTTTTTTTCCCCTTAGAGCCTTGTAAACTGCAATTTGTGCTCTAGTAAGAAAAACCTGGCAGAGGAGTTAGGATAGCCATTTCCATTTGAAAAGAGGCAATCATAAGGCCACTGCTGAGCCTATTGTCCACTAAAAATGCTGATTTGCAGTCAGGGAGTGAAAGAGTGGAGCCATCACTAAATAGAACCTCGTGCAAGGTAACTCCCCCTTGGTGGCTTTTCTAATGTTGGCGGAAGGTTTTATGTACCTTAAATCCTGCATTTACTGTCATTATAACGGTGTTACTGATCACGAATGTCCTTTATCATAACAAAAATATCATACTATAAAAAGGGATTGAGGGGGAGGTTGGAAGAGGAGCTCCCAGCCCGTTGATAGGCTCGCGCCAGCTATCTATTGTATCGCATCTTTCTTATTCTCTTGCCTTTTGTACGCCATCACAATTTTCTTCTCGTCACCCTTTGCACTTTGCCATTCAGGCACCTTCCATAACAGTTTTCTCATAGGTTTTTCCATACCTATTTACGCTTCGTTTTAGACACCCTCCCAGTAGATTTTTAGCATTTTCGACGTTTAACCTGCTGGGAAAGGAAAAGCGAGAGGGAGGTGACAGTAGCTGTTCAGTTCAGAGTTTGCCTTTCTGTAACCGTGGCGCGATTAGGCTGTGATAAAGCCTGTGTACGCACAGGTCTGAGAGAGGACTGAAGTTAAGACAATTAATTAAATAAACTTGCTTGCGGTAAGTCCTTTTTTTTTGTGTGCTACCTCTGATGAACCTAGAGTTGCTTTGACCATAGTTATAGGAACTTATAAAAATACCAAAAAAACCAACACTGCCCTCATTATTCTGGTCAGTGTGAGGTGTAGCGTATGTGATATTCCTAACGGTTTAAGAAAGGGATATTAGTGGATACATATGAGGTTCCAGCGATTGTATATGCAAGTAAGTGAGCGTATTTTGAGGCTGCATCATAGGTTTTTCTTCCAGAGATGGCATTGGCTTCCATTTTACTCTCATTTCCCCAAAAGAAGAAATGGTCATGTATTGCAGTTTGGCAACCAGAATTAAAGACTTTGCTTTGTCACGATTATGACCAAGTAGCCTTTGCTGCCCAGACCTGCAGTGTCTTGAAAACCCAGGGGCTATGTTTCCAGAGAAGTGGTGTGGCTTCCAGTAAAAGCCAAGAGCGTACACAACAGGTCTGATTCTGATCCCAGTGGCAGACCCTGGTCATGCACTACTGACTTGAACAGATTTGGGATTTCTGTTGGTGTCAGTAGGATGAGGATCAGGCCCCATGTATCCATAAGGTCATCAAAATGCCCTTTCCTTCGTTATATGCCTTATGTCCTTAGGCTTTTGGTATGTTGAACACCAGACAATGAGGTCTCTATGTCTAAACTTGTGCTAGAAACAGGATTTAACCTGGCTTCTGTATGTGCTGAAGAAATACTTCAAAATATTTCTAAACTGTGCAGCATTCCCCCTCATTGTAAGATTTAATTCAAAGAAAATCTTTTAATGCATAGGTTGTCGTCATTAACTGACATTAACAGAACTGTCATGTTGTCGTTTTCTCCAGGATGCTATAAATGTGAGATGGTGGCTTTTGCCCTCTCGCTGTTGTACGAAACTTTTTGAACGTCCTGATGCTTGTATTTGTTTATCTCTGTAACTGATGTAAAGAACAAACAGGAATAAATAAAATAAGATATGAAGAGTAAACAGTATAATGATGGGGTGAGTCTGTGGGCTTCATATGTGTCTGCAGAACTGAGACAGTGGTAAATCTGTATAGAAAAAAAAAAAAAATCAGGCATAGCAGGAGGTCCTCGTCTCCCAGGTAATGGCTAAATGACGAGCAGATGAGCCATCGTCATATTGATTTAAGCATTTTGTTCCAGCCAGTCACGATTAACTTTGATTTGTTTTTACTTTCCTCTTACAGGTTTGCATTTAAAGGACTCTCAGAGCACTAATTGTATAAAATTCTAGTAACTGCACATTCTCTTGCAGGAAAGGTAATGGATGCATGAATGACTGATTTTGGGTTTCCCTATACTTTAGAATTAACTTAAAAGTTTTTGAAATGAGCAGGAAGAAGCAAGTTTTACTTAGTGGCAATGCATTTTGAAAGGTCTTCATTTTTGGGATGTAGGTTAAAGAAAAAAAAGTCTTCCCTAGGATTTTTGGAATGTAAAGTTGATTAGAATTTAACTGAGATGTGCTTTTTAAATGAATTATCAAATCAACTGTTCCCATTATTAAATATAATTTTAAAATAAATTAATGTACACATTGATCATACTGCCAGAAAGCATATTACAGTGTTCTTAGAATTGCCTTCCTTTTACTCAAAAATACATGGAGAGCAAAAGTCTACATATTCATAGTAAAAATATACTTCCTCATGCAACCCTGGGTTATACAGATTTAGATCTAATTTAGGTTTTAAGTTCACAAGAATAAATCATACCAGTGTAACTGCTCTTTATACGTGAGAAATTATATTCACGGTAAGGCATTGTACAACCTGACTTCTGTAGGTTTGAAATAGTTAAAGATCATGACAAATTACGTGTAGTGAAATACTATGACCCCATTCAGTACCTATCTTCTCATTCAGTCTGAAATATATCCCTTTATTGCCTTGTGAATTAAAAATATGATGTTGGACAACTACAGATGACTTCTTGTTAATTAGAATTAGAATTTCAGATGCATGCTATGATGCATCGGAACGTTCTCTATTTTCTGGTAATGGGACACACCGAGTGAATAGCAAAATGTTTTTCAAGAGCAGGAAGAGAAAATTATCTCCTGATCTAAATAAGATGTTACCTTGAGGACAGGCTCCTAACTTCTTAATGCCTGGCTTTCAGTGAAATCTTTCAAAATTGAGGCATTTCTCAAAATTGGAAGTTTAAGCAAGAGACCTGTGATGGGAAAAAGTCATCTGGTTTCTGTGGTGATAGGGAACGTACTGAGTATGTGGCTTATAGTTACGTAAATGCGTAGTCTTTATTAGTTGGTCTTCTTACTTAATCAGACCAGATCTTCAAGTGACAAAAAAATAAATATAGCTCCACCATTAACTATGTGGCAGCTGAAGACCTGCTCCACAAAATATATTTTATCTGATAAATAGCAGAGATGGTAAGAGATAAGAATACCATTTGAATGCATTTCCAATAGTAAGATGGCTCTAGAGGACCACACCACTCTGGGTGTCTCATCATTTGAAAATTTACCAGGTGTTCCTCTGTCTCTCCTGGCTCTTAGATATTTTCAAAAAATCTTGCCCTAGGTGTAATACTGGTGGTGTATTTCAGGTTTCACTCCACCCCAGATAATTTTAAACCTAAAACTGAGAATTGAACCTTTACTGATCTTGCCTCCTTTTTATTTCAAGATGGGCCTTACTGCAGAATTTGGGTTAAAGCATAGTCACTGAAGAGTCTATTCCAATGAAGTCTTCAAAAACGGGGTGGGGTGAAGGGACATCCTGGTATAGGTTATTTTTCAAGATTTCATCCCAAAATGCAGAGCTAGGGCTAAATTTACTGCCAGTGTAAATGGAGTTTGTTCTGTTGGGCAAACAGAGGTGAGCTCGTTTCTGCCCACAGCAGGTAGACCCAAGTTTTTCTTTTCGAAGGCATATCCCAGCTAAAGCTGAATCATGAACCATTTGAGATGCCACTTTCTTATATGAGAGTGCCTTCGCAGTAAATTCACTAAGCTGGCTCTAATTTCAAACAGACTCCTAACCTTGAAGGCCTGTGCCATGGTCACGTGCCTGTTTGCCACGCAAACCCAATACATCCTAGCCCAGTAGAGTCCTTGGAGGCTCTGCATGTATAAGTTAGGGGTGCTGATGAAACCAGCCCATTCCCACGCCTGTCAAGGGGCTGCTGGGTGCGTTGGCGTACATCGACTGGTGTCAGAGCTGGCAGGAGCGGTCCATTTGGATGTACCCAAGCAAAGTCCCCTTTGTGGTAACTGTGACTGGAGTGGAGCTGCTAAATCACCGCAGTGACAGCAACAGAAAAGTCAGGCTGAAAGGGGAAGAATCATTTGTATTTGTCTTCAGAATGCTGAGGCTCCAATAAAAAAAACCCCTAAGAAATATTGGGCAAAATAGAGATCTGCACATACATATTAATTCATTATTTATATCATTCAGGTTTTAGCAGTTAGCAATGGTGATGACATGAATATTAAACTGCAGTGTTAAAGAGGCTCTTAGGCAACGAACAATAGAGAGACAAAACATTTCATTCTGGTGAAGTGGTGAGGCACCTCAGTTGTGCTCAGTGCCACCAAGATACGTAATCAAGAGACTCCAACATCTCCTTAGCCCAAAGCATGAGGGTTTGCCTGTCTCTCGTCCATACTGTCTGTTTTCTCTAGCGTACAAGGTACAGGACAGGCAGTGAAGAAGGAAAAAGGATCCTTCTCTTCCAAAGAAGGATGAGACAACAACTACTGTATTACTCTGAGCAAGGAGGTATCTGGTTCAAAAGCTGCACGGGTGAAGGTGGTGGTGGGTTTCTGCATGTTATTCTGTGTTACCACAGTCTGTATGTCGTTCTATCATGGTTGAGGTAGCCTTGGCATCCACCACTTCAAGCCTCACTCCATGGTGATGACGGATCTGTATGTGACTGGAAGAGTAACCTGTGTTACCTTCTGCGCAGGGTCTTGCTTAGGTGACATCTATGGCACTACACTGATTTCTGTCAGCAAGTGGCCTATCTGTTCCTTTCCCAAGTGAAAGAAAAGATGGTAAACAAAAGGGTTTCCAAAGCACAACTATGCTTGTTGGCTATCAAAAGGAAATGACATTTTGCATTCTTATCTGAGAAGTGGAAATGCCTTACTCTCTATGAGAAAGGAAAATCGCAGGAGCAATTCAGAATTCTAGTTTGCTTTCCTAAAGACGGGTACTACAATTTTAGGAGCCAGCTGGTATTTCCTAAGAGAATCTCTTATAACCTATACCGGGACGTTTAACATGTTCCTCCTTTTGCTGTTGCATGTGCAAATACTGGACAAAACAACGTGGCAGAGGGCTGAAGCAACTATGGAGGAAGCCACGACCCACCATACCTCTCACCGAGCTTAAACTGTCAATGTTCCGTAAAGCAAGGAAGCGTCGCTCGCTGGTGTTTACATTGCCTTTATGCTAAACCTTTAGCTAAAGAAGGATGTGTCCAGAAGAGAGATGTTTGAAGAACTGAAGGGCTGAAGAATTGTGATAGCTATGTTGTACCTGTGATCACAGATTGTTGTTCAAGGTAAGCTAAGGTGTAACTGCAAAAGGTGTAGGGCACCTTTCCCACTCACCTGCCAGTAAAGCAGGTAATTTTTGAGGATCTGTTTTCCCTGGGCTGGTGCAGGAGATCTGTATGAGAGAGGCACTTCCCAACAGAGATGGTTGGGTAGTGCCTACAGTAAATATGGCCTTAATCATGGCTACTGAAAAATAATTTCCCTTGACCAACATTTTGGCTTTGTTGTATCCACAATTAACAGATTGGAGCATGCACTTGGAAATAAAACAGAAGACAGACTTTTTTTTAAAAAGACTGTCCTTGCTGAGCCGTAGTCCCGAGTTACGTGTGTGGTTGTAGCTCCATTTAAGCAAGTGGCATTGCTCTGTATGGTGCAGGGAGCTCTGTGCTGGAGCACCTGAGCTCCAAGCTCTTTGGTATCATTTCAGGGCACCAGATGGGACAGCATGGTGCAAAGTGGCCCCAATGTAAATGTGAATGGGATCTTCCACTAGCAACACGCAAAGAGAAAATTGTTAAAAGTTAACGGTTTGAGCATCTTATCTTACTACATACACGCACAAATATCTCATGAAGTCTGTAGCTTGACTTCGTTCAGATAATTCCACTTTCATTCAATTCACAATGCCAACCAGGCTCTAGAGACACCAAGACAAAACCATGGGCTTCTGGCTGGACACGTGTCAGAAACAGGTCCAAGAGACCTCCAGATTCAGGTACCGTCGGTAAAAACCCAGCTGCTGGGTCTCTGTGTGGCCCTCGGTCGGACAGATGCCGACCCCACGTACAGTTGGGGAGGCTGGATGCTAAACCCACACCGTTGTAAAACCCAAGCATGTGAGAACTGAAGTCTGAAGTTTGTGGCGCTTGAAATAAGTCTGAGGCTGATGAGAAAATTAGCTTTGACATTCTGAATTCACGCTGAAAAGTGTAGGGGAAAATGGGATGATTATTATTAATAATAATCAGTAGCAGAAGTCAAATGTCTGAAGGACTATTTGCACTATAACTACATCCTCTTAAAAGTTTGAAATGAACTCTTCAGGAAAGTTTGAAACTTGGGATATTAGTTCATGAGCGTTTCTTTAATGTCTGATTAGCAGAAAGTGTAGAACAGATGTTTTCCCCCTTTCTTCGCAGATAGCTAACTTTTGCCTTGTCCTTTAAAATGTAAAATACGCATCACAGTTTGGAAAACATTCACAAATGATTGCTTCATACTGCGAGTTGGAGCTGCCTTCCAGGGGGATATGTTACAGTCTGGTCAGATGCAATTGCTTGCAACTACTATTGCCTTTCGAAAAAAGTTTTGCCATCTCGATAAACTTTCATTAACAACTCAGCATAGGGATACGTTATTTTAAGCCAGGAATTTCTCCTTTAAGGATATAGAGGGCCAGATACTGAAATAATGTCAAAACTGCAATCTTTCCACTGGAGATGGTGAAAGTGCGTTTGCTTACATTTATTCCCTGTTCCATTCCAGTGACATTCCAACTATAATTTTATTTCTTCTCTAAAGAAAATACGTTGACAACACAGACATTAATGATGATTGAAACTTGCTTTTTCTCTCCTTTTCCTCCTGCGCTGGTTTTTTTTCAAACTTCCGTGCCCCCCCCTTTTTTTTTTTTTTTCCAATATTTGTTAAAAAGTCCCTTTCTGAAGTGAGCGATGAGCAAAATGAGCCCAACAGCGGGGAAACGGTGCAGCCCCCTCCCAGGTGGGAATAGG